TGGCAGGGCAGTGAGACCGTATAGTGGGTAGCCCTCACTCAGGCTGGCATCCCTGTGTGGCTTCTTAGGCTGAAGTGGGAATGTATTGCTATTAAGATGGAAAGCTAAACTAGGTTGAAACACTTGCCTGAAGCGGGAATGAGAAGAAGGCTGCTTCTTTGGTCCTGCTTTGGCTAAGTTTATATACATATGAAAGCAGGTCATGTGGAGGTGCCATGTCAACCTTGGATGGAGCCAGGTTGTCATGGGCAACTCCGCAATCATGGGTGTGAGAGAGGGGAAACACAAGTAAGGATGCGTGGCATGTCCGGCATCATGGTACCCATGCAGGGTGCTCAGCGTTGGACGCATCCATGCTACAGATGTGGAGAAGTGTCAGGAGACGACTCCCGGGTCCCCATGACCCTCCCCTATGGTCCACAGCCCCTGGTCTGGCCAGCCCTATCCAGGGCACAATCCTACTGTGGGTAAGGAGATGAATAGATAAAGCAGTAGGTAAGGTCCACTTGCCTACTGTGGGTAAGGAGATGAGAAGGAAGCTAACTTCTCATCTTCCCACAGTGGCCACAATATCAGCAAAACTTCCGGGGATACCCGGAAGTCACATGAAGGGGTAGGAATCGGGTCCGGAGCATGCGGCGCGTGGAGCGTGCACACGTGTGGGAAGCGCGGCGGGTGGAAGCGGGTCTGGACACGGGTCCGGGTCCGGGCTAGTCAGGGTGTGTGCCCTGACAAGAAGAGAGAAGTTGTCTGTATAAGGATAGAAAAGAAGAAGAGAAAGGAGAGAAAGAAGGAAAGTAGGAAAGAGGGAGAGAGAGAGAGTGGAGAGGGGTGCAGTGCAGTGTGCCCTGACACCATGACAGCAATGTAGAATACACTTGCCTACTGTGGGTAAGAAAGTGAGAAGAAGGTTAACTTCTCACTTTCCCACAGTGGCCCCAATATGGTGAAAACTTCTGGGGATACCCAGAAGTCACATGAGGAATGGGAACCGGGCCCAGAGCATGCAGGGTGGAGTGCACATGCGGGTCCGGGTCCGGGCTAGTCAGGGTGTGTGCCCTGACAGAGGGTCTGTGTGATGCATGACTGGTACTTGGTCATGCTGTTGGAGGAACCATGTGCTATGGGAGGCTGGACGAGTTGTCACACAGCCACATTCCCACATCCGAGCGAGGAACTCGCCCGGATGTCAGGGCACACCCCACCTGACCCCGCGCCGCGCTGCCCTACTCCGCTCCCCCGCTATCACTCCCTGTTTCTTCTTTCCCCTTTCCTTCTTCCTTTCTATTTCCGTTCCATGGTTGACTTCCCCTTCTCTATGTATTACTACACACCTAACCCCACTCCCCCGATCGCCACACCCACCGAGTGCATTCCCGCTCACAGAGCAGCACACCCCCGGGACCTCCCACGGAGATACCCAGGGGAGTGTGGCTGTGTGCAGGGATGATGTGGCTCCTCCCACGTGACCCCAACCGCATGTATATAATAGCACCTGGGGTGGGAACAGAAGAAGCAGCCTTCTTCTCAACTTCCCACTTCAGACTAAGTGGTCAGGGACACTCACCCTGCAACGGGACCGTCGCTACGCATAGCCGACATCTGTCCCATCGAGTCCCTCGCACCGGGACCTCGCCGCTTTCGGAGCTGTCCCTGACACCGGACAGCCACATTCCCGCGGTAGCGTGACTACTTGGTCACAACACCTTTTTTTTCCTTCTTACTTATTTTGGTCACTTCGGACTTATCCGTGAAGTCCACAAACTATATTCATTCATTTGGATTAGTTTCCTTTTTCCCTAAGTTCTTGCACATCAGCTTGAGAGCTTTAGCATTAGAGCAAGCAGTTATTCTGTTACATGCCAGTACAGTATTGTCAGGGACAGCTCCGAAAGCAGTGAGGTCCTGGTGCAAGGGACTCGTGTCAGGGCACACCTGCCTGAACCGGCTCCACCCGGCCCAACCTGACCCGGTACCCCGCCGGTCCACCCTTCCTTACCTCCTCCCCCTTTCCCTTCTTCCCCCCTCATCCTCCCCTCCTCAGTTTCTCCTTATCTTACTTCTTCTTTATTCTCCCTTTATTCTACATGGACGACTTTCTCTGTTTCAATGTACAATTGACCCATCTGCAGCGCGCCCACCATGTACCCGGCCCGGGCACCTTGGGCAACTTCCCACTGTGCCCAGCATGCACGCCTGCACCGGATACCCTCAGGATCTCCCACAGAGACACCCGGGTGGTTACGGCTGTGTGCGAGGGTGACGTGGCACCCGTCATGTGATCCAAGCCGCATGTATATAAACGAACCTGAAGTGGGAACCGAAGAAGTAGCCTTCTTCTCAACTTTCCACTTCAGGTAAGTAGTACAATATCTCTCCTTTAATGATAATAACAACTTTCCACTTCAGTCTAAGTGGCCAGGGACCACTGTCCTGCATCGGGCCTGTCAGTATGCACGCCCGATCCGCCCCCCGCCAGGCTCTCGGTCCCGGACGCTACACCCGGACCCCCTCGACCCCGGACGAGTCCCTGACAGCAGAAGAAGGCTTCAACTTCATCTCCCCCGCCTCCCCTGCCTCCCCTGCCATGGTGACGGTGTAACGGGGATTTGCTGGTGTACCATAAACAAGCCAAATCCCGCGATTCTACCACCCTTAGCCAATGTTCCCTCCTACACATTTCTTATTTTTCCTGATTTTTCTGACTCCATTTCCACCTGATGTTTCCCCTTCTTATTGTTCTTTCCTTATTTGTCATTACCGGACTCTTCCGTGATACCGTGACCAGCTGTATAGTTAGCTAGACAGTGAGGAGTAGCAGAATCCAGACACCAGTTAACAAACCTGTGCATGCGACCACTCCAACCCTCCCCCTCTCTTCTGTCTCGAGTCTAGTGGTGATAGACCCGTTACAAATCTGGTGGTCCTTACAGGGGAGGGTATTCCGAAGGGTCGCGCACACCGAGTTCTCAACCACGCAAGTTTCACCATCCATTCATTTGTTTGACAACACCATCATTATTTTGGACATTGACTATCTACATCATTTGTTGTGCCCCAAGAAGAGGCAGAAGTACTAGCCAGGGATCTCCGAGTCTACAGATCCACACGTTTCACACACCTGCAAGATTAAGAAAGTTGCGCGATTGTTTATCCTGGCGGACCTCAAGACGAGGGCACAGGACACCGAGTTTGTTATCGAGTTTTAGCGACGTGTTGCCATTCAGCAAGTTTATCACGATTGTTCCTCCTGGCGGATCTCACGACGAGGCACAGGAGGTCGGGTTTATTGCTCAAGTGGTTAACTCCTGGCAGTTCTCAAGAAGAGAGTACAGGAGCCTGCATTAGTTATCTGGTTATCAAGTTTGCAACGTGTTTTTGCGACGTGTCACTCCATTTACTCCGTTTTACCCTCGTTTTTACGATTCCTCTCCTTGCCGGACGACAAGCGGCATAGAGAATCACTCCAAGTATTGCTGGAGCGGGTCCCAAGTGATCCCGACAATCTGTTTTCAAGTTCTTACTTCGTTTTGTTGACTTTTCAAGATGGCTGCGAGTTGGGCTATTGAATCGCCATTGTTATACGTTCCCATGCCCATTCCCCACACCCCAGAAGCGCCTCTGTTCAAAGGCAAAGGAATTGCCAGGTTTCTCCGCAAGTATGAGTCGCGTGCTGATGCAGCACTATTCACGAAGACCCAGAAGTGCGATTTCCTCATCGCATATTGTTCCAAGAAGGAGGCCAAGTTTGTTGTCACCCTTGACGGGTTCAAGGAATCAGATTGGCCGTTACTCAAGACTGAATTGCTGATTCATCACGGTGCTGACAAAGAAGACCGATATCGCACCAACGATCTGTGCAAGCTCGTAGAGAAACGTCGCAAGATGACGACTTTTGACCACTTCGACCAGTATCTGCGCCAGTTCAGCATTATCGCTGCAACCCTCGAAGCCCGGTACCTCCTCACTCCCATCGAGCGTGATGAATTGTTTTTCCGAGGCTTCCCATCCAAGTTTAGGGACCAAGTCAGCTTTGACCTCCAAATTGAAGGCCTGTGGGCCGATCCACCTCATATGTGCGACGTTATCACAACAGCGCGGATGCTGCTTCAAGAATTTATGTTTAATGGCGACATCAGCAATGAGCCTGAACCAAGCCCATGTTCCAGCGAAGGCCCCAGTGGCAAGCAAGCAACTCAGGACAGTGTGTCTGGCGCGTCGTCAGTTTATTTATCGCGATCTACAACAGTTGAAGACTTTCTGCCCAAGTTTGACATGGAATCGAGCCCCAGCGCTTCAGGAGACTCAGAAACCCCAGAGACGAGTTCCAGTGGCTCAACCCTCGATCTGATGGGCCAGTACCAGTCTGAAACCTGGGAAACGCCCAGCGCCTATGAACCCGAGTCCATTGCTGTGACCGATGAATGCATTTCCCAGCCAGAGTTTGACGACGCTAGCCTAGAGACAACTTCTTACGACAATTCTGCGAGTTTCTCCGATGTGCCACAGCTTAACGATCAAGAGCTAAGGCCTAACGGCCTCGAATCCGACTCAGAACTCGACATTTTTGCAGAAGACCCAGTTACCGCAGTCTCAGCACATGCGCCCACCGATCCTATTCGCCCAGACGAAGCCTATAGCCCGTTGTATGACTCTGAGAGCGCATCCGAGGCTGATCACAGCCAGCGCTTTGCGCTTCCAGAGATAAGCGCCGACATCGCTGAGATGTCGGACTTGTACCAGTTTGCCTTTGGATTTGAGCCCGATGTGCCCAAAGCCGGCCCAAGACCACTGAGTAATGACCAATACCATCTTTTGTGCAATGTTCCACGTCGTTTCGAGTCAATCCAGAGTAATGAGCGACGAGAGCCCAGTCAGCAAGTTAGCCGAGGATTCCGAGTCGCCAGCCAAGCCGCTGCCGTCGATGTCAAGCTTCCTAGAGTGAAAACATGCCACAAAGTCTTCACCCCCAAGCCGTTGCTGCTAGTTGAACACGTCATTCCAGCCAAGGCGACCAGAGTAGCGCCCGTGTCGCTTGATCAGGCTTATGAGAAACTGCCCCCGCGCGCGCTGATTCTTACACCTGAGATGACTAGACTCAATCAGGCAAGGCTCAACCTTAGCGTCGCGATCCCAATCGAAGAGTACAGCAGTGTCGAGTCTTCCACCGAGTCCAGCAATGCCAGCTGCCAAGAGAGTGAGCCAATCGATGCCGCGTCGACCAGTCATGAAGCCGAAGATGCGACTCCGGTCCACAGTGAGAACGAGTTCCTTGTGCCTTGCGACAGAGCCGGAGAATATAGTGAACGTTTGAGCACTAAGGAATCCAGCGTTTCAGTTTGGGACTCTAGTGGCGAGTCCAGCGCCAGCGGGTATGGTGAAGCAAAGATGTGCGCAGAGATGCCACATTCACCTGAGTACAACGAAGGACACGGTAGTCCACCCAAGAAGGATCCAGATAAAGCTCTGAGCTGCGAATCCGATCCCAATCGTGGTGGTGAAGCGCCTAAGCACGTTAGGATGCCGTCGCTGCCAACCATATCCGAGTTCAATGACGGTTATGCTGAACCGCCCACGAAAGATCCTGACAAGGCCTTATATATGAATAAGCGTCCGGGAGATGGCCTTGCCCGAGAGTATGAGTCTGAAGAGACTCTAGGGGCCGAATGTTTGCGAGAGGTCGAGTTCCAAGGGGACACTTTCGCAGTTGAAAATCCAGATGGAATTTATGTCGTTTGCGATGACATGATCCCATTCTTTGAAGTCAAACATGAGTCTAAGGTGACTCCAGAGGCCGAAAGTATACGAGATGCCAAGCTCCACAGTGACATCCTCACACTTGAAATGCCGGAAGGCACCTATATCATTTGCGATGATGAGATCGCCCTGTTCGAAGTCAATGGCGAGTCTGAACCCAGCAGAAAGTCGAAAGTAGCACGAGTCCTGGACTCAGCGCAAGAGGACAGTGAGCACGAGCATAAAGAGCCAAGGCCTCCCGGCCTCAATGATGAGCTCAATTGTTGTTTTCTCATGTCGCATTCCAAGTTCCGTGGCAAGACCTTCATGCTTGAGACGCCAGAGGGCATCTATGTCATCCACGGTGGCCTTGTGATTCTTTTTGAAGTTGCCCAAGCCGCGGAGCGCGAAATCCAGTTCAGACCCAGCCTAGCGCAAGATGGGACCGAGTTCAAGGCTAAATCAGAGCCAAAGTCCCTCAGCCTCAGCGATGAGCTTAATTCGATGCCGATTTCAGTCACTCTTACGCGCGAGTTGAATAGAGAACAGGATTATGATTTGATCGACAAAGATGCTAACATACATGATGTATTCGACGCAATGAACGGCCCTACCTCCCGGAATCTCGTTAGCGCTGGTCCTGGCAATGGAGCACCCCAGCCCCCAAAGACCCCACGTTCCCCCGACCTAGTCGATGACGGCTATGAATGCCGACCTGAGAAAGACCCCGACAAAGTCTCAAACATGAATAAACGTCCGGGAAATGGCCCAGCCCGAGAACAAGAGTCAGAGGAGACTCCAGAGGTCAAATGTTTGCGTGGTGTTGAGTCCCAAGGTGACACCCACATACTCGCGATGCCGGAGGGCATCTTTTCTTTCCAAGCATAGGCCCGCCCTCGTCTTAAACTAAGCCGACCTTTAATCATTTCCCAACATCCTTTCAAGTTTTACGCGTGTTCTTATGATTTCCGATGAGTGCAACTTGAGCACTTATTTCTTGCATGCGAAACCACGCTGTTATTTATGAGTCTACAGGTTTGGCCCGAGTCGGACGCGTCGTTAGTCCTCAATGCCACGATTTCCTAGCCAGATAACCTTCGTTCGAGTTTTACACGATAAATCCACGTTCCTTTCGCTGTTCGATTTTCCCCGATTTTCACGCCGAAGTTGCCACACAGCGATGTCGTACTTGAGGTTGAAGTCCCCCAAGCGCAGCACACTTGTGTTAGCGATGGGAGTGAAATCGAGGCGTACCATTGTGCCCAATCCTCCCATTCGACCAATGGTTCTCCAATGGGTGGTAGCGTGATGCCAAATTGCGCGCGCGATGTCGAGTTCTGGTGTAGGTTGACGCTGGAGCTAGTTGATGGTGTTGGGAATGGCAAGAGTTGAGGCGATTGATGGATGAGTGAGTGCCGAAGGAAGTTGTTGAAGTACGCGAAGCAGTCGCATGGGCAAGGCAACTTCGTCGCAGCTCATGTGTCCGTGGGCGAGTAACTCGCCTAGGATCTTCTCACGCCTGCACATGACCCCCTGGTCCGGACAAATTCCGAAGTCACATGGCATTCAACACCGGGGCCTCATCTGATTACTTTGTTTATTTCTGTTTGACTTCTTTCCTTTCGGGAGATTGCAAGGGACTGCAATCAAGAGCAAGGCCTGTATGTAACGGGGATTTGCTGGTGTACCATAAACAAGCCAAATCCCGCGATTCTACCACCCTTAGCCAATGTTCCCTCCTACACATTTCTTATTTTTCCTGATTTTTCTGACTCCATTTCCACCTGATGTTTCCCCTTCTTATTGTTCTTTCCTTATTTGTCATTACCGGACTCTTCCGTGATACCGTGACCAGCTGTATAGTTAGCTAGACAGTGAGGAGTAGCAGAATCCAGACACCAGTTAACAAACCTGTGCATGCGACCACTCCAACCCTCCCCCTCTCTTCTGTCTCGAGTCTAGTGGTGATAGACCCGTTACAACGGAAGAACAGTACGATGACCTCCTAGCCTGGTTCCAGGAACTGCAGGCTATTGTGGAGAACCAAGTCCTTAACCATCCCCCACCTGCTCCTGCACCTGCACCCGCGCCCACCCCTGCACCCGCTCCCACACCCACCCCCAGACCCAAGCCACCTAAGGTCGCCCCCCCCCACGCCCTTCTCGGGAGCCAGTGAGGACCTGGACCGTTTCAAAGCCGAATGTGGAATCTACTTCCACGTCCGCGCGTCCGAGTTCCCCACCGCCCTCTCCCAGATTCTCTTCATGTTGTCCTACATGAAGGGAGGGCTGGCAGGAGCATGGGCAACGCAACGCACGATCTCGCTGTTGACGGCAGGGTCCCCGGCACTCACCATGGACGAGTTCAACACGGAACTCGACGACATGTTCCAGGACCCAAATCGGGAAGCCACTGCCCGGCAGAAGCTGGCGGCCATCCGACAGGGGAGCGACTCCGTGGACAAGGTCATCCAGGAGTTCGAGATATTAGGGCCTGCCTCAAGACTGGGTGACGTAGGGCTGGTCGACCGCTTCGAGCAAGCGATCAACGCCCGGCTCCACGAGAGCATTTATCGTCTCCGCCCTATGCCCACCACCTGGGCTGAATGGAAACACGAGGCCACCCTCCTCGACAACCAGTGGCAACGTTTCCAGGCCACCCAGCCATGAGCACCCCCACCTAGACCCCCACTCCCACCAACCAGACCCCCTCTAGCCACCACCCCCCTACACGTGGCCCACACCCACCACCTCGTGACCGACACCCGCACCCGCACCCCCAACCCCTGCAACCCGTCCCACGTCAGGAACAGGTCCACAGCCAATGGACCTCGACCGATCAAGGACTGACCAAAGACGGAAGGGGTTGTGCTACAATTGCAACGCCCCAGGCCATGTCGCACGAGAGTGCCCACACCCTAAGGTCCACCGAGTCCGACGCCTGCATCCGGAGGACCTATGAGCGTTGATGGAAGGGCTGAAGAGGCAATTGGGTGAGGGACTGGAGGCAGAAGAGGGAGAGACAGGGCCAGACCCCCAGGAAGAGGATTTTCAGGAAGGCGACCGGTGAGGGATGCGCCCCGGCCGCCTGTAGAAGATAACCTGTGTAAATACCGCAACGGGCACGAGTCAACGCCACTGCAGAAATTCCATCGAGTTATCGCAAAGAAAAAGAGGAAAAGCGCATCCTCTACCCACAGAAGTGAGAGACGCCCAGAGCTAACACCCGAAGTAGCGGTGTCTCCACCCACCATTTACGTCCTTTCCAAACAATCCCCCAGGTCACTCAACCTCACAGTGACGTTGACTGCCCTGACCTCTCTCGCCCCCATATCAGTGTCAGCCCTCCTGGATTCAGGGGCCACCGGGAACTTCGTGAGCCCTGAGTTCGTCCGGAAGCACAGGCTCGAGACCACCCCGCTCCCACAGCCCATACCCGTCCGCAATGTCGATGGCACCCCGAACGAGAATGGGGCCATAACTGAAGAACTGGAAGCCCTCCTGACGTTCGGACGACATACAGAACGGGCCCGCTTTGCAGTTGCAAACCTGGGACACCAATCCCTCATCATAGGGCACTCATGGTTGCTGCATCACAACCCAGAGGTGGACTGGGCACGACAGAAGGTCATCATGTCCCGCTGCCCATCCTCCTGCAGGGGGTCGCGAGTGGGAGACGACCAAAACCTCACGGTAGAGCCCAGGGATGGGATCTATGCTGCGATCCTCCCCCCAGGGTGGGGACATGACCTGAGAGCAACCACGATGCCATCCCAGCGGATGGCCCAGGAGGCCCACGACCCGGGGGCAGAGCCCGTGCCGTTCGAGATGTTGGTACCAGAGCACTACCAGGACTTCCGGGACATGTTCTCTAAGGAAGCCTTTGACCAGCTACCCCCCCGGAAGCCCTGGGACCACGCCATAGACCTGGTGCCGGACGCGAAGCTACCCAGAGGAAAGACCTTCCCTCTCTCGTGACCCAAGCAGAAAGAACTGGACGAGTTCTTACGGGAAAACCTGCAGAACGGGTGTATACGCCCGTCCAAATCCCCGATGGGGGCGCCAGTCTTCTTTGTCAAGAAGAAGGACGGGTCGTTGCGCTGTAGGAGAAATAATATTCAAAGAATAAAACAATGATCTATCAGAATAGTCAACGAACAGGTGACAAGTTCAGACGTTTAACAGATCTCATGATCTTTATGAGACTGGACAGACATTAGATCATTATAAATTATCTACACCCATGTAGTATGAGATTTAATCTACTACAATCATGCCTAGAACTTGGCATAGGTGTAATATTCAAAGAATATAACCCTACAACAAGAAAATAGCACATAGACGGCAGAATAAGAAGGAACATTGGGAAAGAAATGTGAATATCTCGGGAACCAGTAAACTTTTGACTGTAATCTTTTTACCATCTGAAAGGACTGTTTCTTAACTTTATCCACGGTTTTGTTTCATTCTAAAAGCTTCAAAACTGACGGAGATATCGCTCAAACGGCGAAACACCTTATAATTCATATATATTTATTTGCTAATTCTTACAAAAAGTAATGTGACTCAAGGGAAATATATTGGCGCCCGGAAGTCTGGCGGACCGAATACCATATGATAGAGTATTCCCCGGCGCGGGCGGACAGTTTTTGATCGCATCAGAAGAGGAGAAAATGCTAAAAAACCGGATCTTGTATATTTTCCCATGATTCATCAAAACTTTTTGATTTTAAGCTCAAATAAATCGGAACAAAGGAATGATTGATGATCTGGATCTCGGATCATAAGCATAAAGTGATTCAGAAGTCCGCGGATCAGTTAATTAATTGGGAAGGCTCTAGAACATTAGTAATGATGTGGCTTCACAAAAAGGGGTCAATTAGAGAACAGCCTAGAAAGTTCCTTTATAGCCGAGTCATTTCTAAAGATAACCGTTCGTAATTAAGGCGGTGTAGAGCATAGCTTCAGCGCTACAAGATCCCGCTGAGATCGGCCCAAAAGACGAAGAAATGAATTACTTATTGCTGAGTCATGTCCTAAGTCCATTATTAAGCTTACACAGCCCAAGCCCCTATATCATTCTAGAACTATCTATAATACAAATGTAGCACATGTAACTAGTGCGAGGCGTGGGAGTAGAGAGGCCTCTGAAAAGCATAAAAGGCCGCCGCTTCTGCCCCCTCTCAAACCTCAGGTAGAAATAAAAGTTTAATTCTCCTCACCAGTGGTTGGTTCGTTTGCTCCAAAAGATAAAAGCAAATATTAGTTGTTAGCTAATATAAAACTAACACGTCACTCTAAGCGTGAGTTAGGGTCAGTTAGACACAGCTGAACAAAAGTGTCATAGTGAGAATTAGTGAGAATTTGGTGGAGGGACTTCTTAATTGAATAATCTCTCAGCAATTTTTGGTTATCACACCACAGGAGAAAAGTGAGCGATCCTGAACCTGCTAGATAACTAGCACGCACTCTAAGCGATAGAAAGAGCAGTTTGGTCACTCCTGTATTGAGTAACATTTATTGCGGAATTATTCTATTAGCAGTTTTCCTTCAGTAAATTATCAGGAAAATCACATCCTACTGAAAAGTGGTAAATATAGGTGTAATATTGACTAGAAATCATAGTAAAGTCAATATAGAATTTTATCCGTAGACGATCTATACGTCAGGTGAGATCCCCGTTGGGGGGTGTTTATTGTTGTTTAGACAGTGAACAATTATATATTTGGCAACCAAAACACGGTCAGTACGCAAATCAGCACAAACTCTAACATCGTTATTGGACGTAGGAAACTGGTTACATAAGGTGATCCAGCTCCGCTCCTTCAGCGCTTAGTCCAAGACTATCGGAAACTGAACGAAATCATGGTCAAGAACTCGTACCCGCTCCCCCTCATCTCAGACGTTCTCGCCCGCCTTCGCAACGCCAAGTACTTTTCGGCCCTGGACCTATGTTGGGGGTTCAACAACGTCCGGATCA